ACACACACACACACACAGTGCAACTGGTCAAAATGACAGCATGAGACCGCTCACTGGGGCCCATTATGCTGCCAGGCTTTTTCAACTTTGTGCTCGGGAGCCCACCAGGAGGCCCTGAGAGGGGAACGGGCAGCTATTCAAACCCAAATGACGGGAATAATGAGTGGTCTTTACCTAATAGCAAAATGAAAGCTAATGGGCTTTGGACCAGAGCCAACATAAATGTCAGCATGTTCAGCACTGCAACACACATCAGTACAATCTCAAACACACTGTTAGAAGGCTGAAGGATGTTTCTAATAATTATGATGTCCACTGACTAAATCAAAGTTTGTTGTCGTACCTGGTCGAGTTGTGAGTCTGAAAGATTGTCTTGGTCAAACATGTAGGTGGCGTTGTCTGGACCCAGCAGCCTACGAGCCATACGCTCCTCATAGGACAGTTTCTGTCGAAATTGAAGCTTTATACTGTTAAACTGACGTTCTTCATACACACACGTAGAAAGTGTGCTGTGATTTGTTTTGGTAAACTTTTGCAATTATGTTTTCTGTTAGGTTCAAACAGGCACACACTGTGTCAGTGTGGATGGGTGGGGGTGTGTGTGTGAGACGGGGGAATGATGGTTTTGATGAATGAAATGTAGGATTCTTGATTTCCACTACAGTTTGCGGGACACACACATACACACACCTGGCTGGTTCTCCTCCTGGCCTCCTTTGAGCGCAGCTTCTTTTCCAGATCCTGGATGAGGGCGTCTTTGGAGCCCTGGATGTCATCATCTGTGGAGCGAGAGGAAGAAGGACGAGGAGCTACAGACTTCTTCAGGATGGGCTTGGGAAGGCTGGTGGACAGAGAGAGACAGGTGTTTCAATTCATTCTAACTTAAGGACACAACATGGAGACATAAAATCATTCCAGATAATAAAGTCCAAAACACAAAAATGTTGTTGTTTTTTTTACCTAATTATTCAACATACATTTGTACATAAACTTCCTGAACACAGCATAAAACGTTTGGACCATGACTGTAGTTCTTCTTACTGTTAAATCATTGGACAGTAAACCTGGCCTTCTCTGTTCACACACTCATACACACATCTCTTCCCTCTGCAGAAATACATACATTTTGCTCCAATATTTTTAAGTGTGGGAACTTCACGTGCATGCCAAATGAATCTAACTCACATGTTTGGCGTCCCCTTGTAGCTGGCGGGCAGGGAGACCACAGCAGGAGGTACTCTGTTCTGACTGTTAGCAGTGCTGGGCTGCAGGAGAGAGGAGGAGGATGGAGAGAGAGGGGAGCGAGGGAGGGAAGGGGACACTGGGAGAGGCTGCTGAGGGAGGGAAGAGGGAGAAGAGGAAACCCTCATGGGGAGGAGGGGGCTGGACGGGGCGAGTGGGAGCGGAGGGGGGATGAGAGAGTGGGGAAGGTTGGAGTTGGGATGACAGGCTTGGAGGAGCGAGAAGGGGGGGAAAGGCGGACTGCGAGGCAGGCACAGAGAGGAGGAAAGCGGCGGGTGCCGACATTGGTGTCCTGCGTTGGCTGGTAGGGGTGGCGCTGCCGAGGCCGGTGGCCACTGGGGATGCTGGGGTGAGGGGTGATGGTAGAACGCATGGTGGTGCGGAGGGAGACGGGGAGGAGGAGAAGGCGGGAAAGGAGGACGAGGGAAGGTGGTGGAGTCGCGAGGGACTGAGCATGGGGGCAGCTGAGAGGAAAGAGGAGGGCGCCGAGGAGGCGGGGTGGAAAACGCGGAGAGCTGAGGACCTGGTCGAGGAGGGGAGAAGACTTGCCTCATGCCGTTTGCCTGGGTCTGGATCTGGGTCTGGATCTGGGTCTGGGTCTGGATTGGGGTCTGGATCTGGGGCCGCAGACTTGGTTTGGTTCTGACTGAGGCTTAGCGACTGAAACTGGGACTGAGTCTGCGACAAGGACTTGGAGACAGACTGAGTCTGAGAAAAAGACTGGCTTTGTGTAGACATCATTTTAGCTTGACTCTGTGACTCCGTAACATTTGGACTCATTTGGGGACTGTTGAGGTTCTGTTGGGAGTTATTTTGGTTCTCCTGGGCCTCCCGCAGAACACTATCATAGCTGGGTGCCTGGAAGGAGGGCTGCGATTGAATAAAATGCCTCGGGCGTGCATAGTTGAAGGCGCTGGGAGGGAAGGCGCTGGGAGTGAAAGTAGGCAGGTCTGACAGGTTCATGTTGTTGCCTCCTGACTGGGAGGACTGAAAGACAGAAGACACATTTACAAAAAAGTGACTACGATGCAATTCAACCATTTTTGAGAGCAATGAAGAGACATTTAGAAACTTTTACACATTTGATTTCGCTGGGATAAAGCAAATGAACATGCTCGCAGGAGATACTGTGTATAGCAAACTGCCTTGGCTGCATACAGTGTACATGTATTACATCTATCAACTGCTGTTTTTTCTCTTAAATACATTTTCCCTTCCCATTCAACCTAGCAGTAGTTAGGCATGATGGCAGATATTAACAGTTGCAGCACACACTGTGTGTAAGAAAGCGTCCTTACACTGAAACTGATCTTGCTTGGGGTGAACAGCTTGGTTGCCTGGGTGGCCTCCTTGAGTTGGGCTGGTGGTGGTGGTGAGGGTGGAGGGGGAGGGCTGGGCGTACAGGCTCGGACAATGACCTCTGGTGACCTCTGGCCCTCTGAGCTCAGGGCGCTCTCCTCCTCACAGGAGTGGTTGGCCGGCTGAGGCTCTGGAAAACTGAGAACACACAGACGTATTAGCAAAGGTTTGAATGTATTCAGCAGCAGAGAGTCGGACAGAGTGATGGCTGACACACAGGAATGGATGTGATGAAAATGTCCTTAAGTTCCTAAAGCTAAAGGGATTTTATCTGTGACAGTTCAAACCGAGTGTCAGCTCCACCTGCAAGAAAAAACCCCAAGATCCAAAGTCCCTCAACAGTGATTGTGGTACAGGAAGTATAGGAGTGCAAACCTCCCACTGCGGAGGAGAACATGAGCTCTTCTGATAAACAGATTCACGTTCCATGGGTTCGGTGTAGTAGTTCCTGTTGACACGAGGCTACACGAGCTAACCTGCAAACAGACAACGGTGGCTGCCATGTTCCACACTGCACAACACTGAACCTGCGCAAGGAGAGGGTCTGAAAGGACCAACATCCCAACCCTGTCTGCGCTGCACACACTGCAGAGATTAGCCTGCACTGAAGAAACCATATCCACTAACATCAACACGTTCCCATCCCGACTGTAACCAGCTGATGTTTAAGTTACCCACCTGGCCATGAGATCATTTCAACTTTGTGATGCAGCCCGTACGTACCATCAATAGCTGAGGTGTTTACCGTCCTGATCGATATTTCAACCAGTGAGTGAAATGATACAGCCTCTTTAACTAGAGGAGACATGTTCCAGTGTGGCTGCCATCACACCTGTGGCACTGTGTAATGGGAGTAACTGATATCAGAGGGTCTGCTCCCATTCAGCCCATTCTCTAGTGTTCTGCCTGTCATACCAAGCCTGGCTGCTCCTCCACTTTCTACTAGGAAAGAATGTTGTTTCCATGACTACCACGTCGTCGGGGCTACGCAGGAGCATGATGACAATAGCAGTCTCTCTCTCTCTTCGCTCTCTCTCTCTCTGTTTTTCTGCATTTCCTCCTGGTCTCCTGAGGGCACAGACCGTCTCTGCCAGCCGGCGTCAGCTCACCTACAGTCAACATCTGGATTAAAACACACTTATGTTACTCTTTCATATCAAACCTTGACAATGAGTGGTGAAAATATACCTGACTGCACCTGTTAAGTGTTTATGAAGTGCCATGGTTCTTCTCTGGCCATGGTCTAACTTTCCACCAAGTTCAATAAAGTTTGTTTTGAAAAAGAAAAGATTAGGTTTTAAACTAAATGTGCCTGTGCTCTTTGGGGGACATACTATCAAGTGTCTGTACATTAGCTGAAAGATACTTTTGGTATTGCTGTGCTGAAATGTCTTGTGTGTCCGTGAGGAGCAGACATTTTGGCCGGTCAGAGCAGAGAGAGCACAGGTACTGTACGGTATGATGGGGAGGCAGCACGGTGACAGCCTGCTTCAGGTGCTCATCAGTATAATAATAATAATGATAATAATACATTTTATTTAAA